AGAGAGAGAGAGAGAAAGTGAGAAAGCAAGCCACCAGATCCAGGACTTGAACCATGGTCAGCCATGTGGGAATGTCCAGTGCATTAACCACCATGCCACTTGCTGGTCCTCTTCTTGCAGTATTTCATGGAATAGATTATCAATGCCTTTATTAGTTTCTTCACTTTCTAGAGTACTGATTATCCGGATGTTTGGGCATTTAATATCTAGTATTACTCGTATAGTATTCTCATCTTGTTGGGTTATTTTCTCAGTCTTTTTGCTGAATTTTTCTAGGTCAGAGGTTCTATCTTCTACATCTGAGATTCAATATTCTGCATGATCTTACCTGCTTTTAACACTTTCAGGGGAGGTTCTGATTTCCTTTATTACAACCTTCGCCTCTAATAATTCTGCTTGATTCTTTTATGGTATGATTCTTTCAGATCGTGCAAGAACTTCGTCACTTCCTAGAACTCATTTTCTCTTTTCTCCTGCATTTTCTGGAATTCAGTGTCTCTCTTCTCTTGTATCTCCATTAGCTTCGTCACTATGAATATTTTAAATTCTTTATCTGACATTTCCACAAGTTCCCTTATATTGTCTGTGGAGGATGAGGGGTTACTCTTTTCCCTTAGGGAAGAGATGCTTTCTTGGCTTCTCATATTTCTTGTGCCTTTACGGTAGTTTCTGGTCGTCTGATGGATTATATGTTTTTTCCTAGTTTTTGGAGTTAAATCTGAGCATTCAGAGGCATGCAGGAGGAGTTGATCTGCAGTCTCTAAGCAGTACCGTTTTTTGCTCTTTGTGCAGCAGATTCCATGGAAATTGAGGATTACCCTGACCCTGGCTAGATCTAGGGGGCAGGAAGGTGAAGTCTGGGCAGAGAATCTTCAGTTGTAGTCCCTGAAAGGGGCTGCTCAGAACTCTTCCACTGTTTGACTTCTAAATAATAGATTAATGTGGCCCTGTTTGAACTTCATATAAATATTGTCATAAGAGCTGGCCTTGTGGCTTGGTGGTTTAAGGGAGCCAAATCTTACATGGCTGATTCCACAGTTCAAATTCCAGCCCTGGTGGCTTGAAAGACACCAAGTGTGTGTGGCCATACCCCAAGGGAGGGTTGCTTTCTCTTCTCCCTCTCTCCGT